AGCTGCCGCACGGCTCCCCAGGGGGGGAGCTGCCGCAAGGTTGGGGGGCGGGGCGCGCAAGTTGGAAGTTTCGCCTAGGGCGTGAAACTTCCTTGCACCGGCCCTGATTCTAGGGTGACTGTGTATTCTGATGTTTCCCCTTCAAAACAAAAGTCCTCATATAACTGCATCAGCTCCATGTATCCTTCTGGGAAGGGAGCCCTCAGAGACCTAACAATGCTCTATAAGATGCTCAACAGGGGACAGAGGAAGAGCAAAGCAACCAGCATTTTCTCTATGAGCCAAGAGCAGGTCTCTTCCAAGCCTGGGTCACAAGCAAAAAGAATTTTGGAGGCTTCATTCAAGTTCCCATCTATGAATCTCACAAAACCACCATGCACACTGGCATATTTGGGAGTCTCTGCTCAGGAGGGGCTTCAAGGGGGAGTTACAAGCAAAGTGTGAGGAAGACGTTGTTAAGTTAGGATTGATATGACCAGTCGAGCCCCTTTTCCAAGAACTAAACCCACTCAATAACACTGTAAGACTTGCCCCTTGGTCTAATAGCCATTTCCAAAGCAAATAATTCAGTAGCAACAGCTCTGTTGTAGATGGAATTTCCAGGGTGGTGACTCACCTCGCCTGCGCCAGCATTCAGAACAGCATTGATAAAGGACATGATGGCCGTTTTGAGATTCACCTCATCCCGATAGCGCCCCATGCTTCGGTCTAGCTCATTCAGCAATGTCTGAAACACAAGGGGTGAGGTGAGAGAGATTAATAACATTCATTGCTTTCCACTGCACAGCTCCCACATTAGCTCCTTGTGAATGGATGGTGAGCATAGTCAGACTGCCTTTGATTTGTCACATCTCTGCTTAGAGTGTAAGTGGTTCAGAGGAGGGCCACGTCTACCTGTCCACATTCATTACAATTTGGGGCACTCCATGAAAAATAATTAATAATAAAATGCCCACTTGATCCTGATGGAGAATCCCTGCCTAGTGCTTTGGAGGAAAGCAAATCCCCACCCCCCCCTTTCCCATTTAAGTCCCTGTCAGTAGGAGCTATATGGCAGAAGTAAGAGGACCTTCCCTAGCCCAGATCCTCCAGTCAGTTTAACTCCGCACATGCAAGACAGCATCTCCATGGTTAATGCCTCTTGGCCCATTTATCTTGGCATCCACGTAATTTTTCATTCTTTTCTTCAATCCTAGCACAGTGGATTCTGCCAGTGCCTCAGGGGATAGAGAATCCCCAACATTAACTACACTTCCAGAGGTTCTTCTCCACCAAGGGTATCATTGCACCTAGACCTTGGAGGGGTTTCAGTTTCCACTTGTTCCCTTGGTTCTGTTTAGTTGACATAAGGCAGATTTTTGCTCAAGTCTTTATATGCTTCTTTTAATGTATTTGTACACAACAGGAAGAGCTCCTGTGGTCATTCATCTGCAAACTCTTTAGAGCTTAGAGGTGAGCTGCAGAGCTAAAGTGGAGTGGAGTTAAACCCAGATTTTCACGCTGATGTCCCCCCACTAAACAAGCTACAGAAGCATTTAGCACTCAAATATCTTTGAGCTAATCTTTATTAAATCTTCCTGCTTCACAGGCAATATCTCAGAGCACATCACTGTCACGGCATCTGGTATTTATGATGTTGCAGAATGATGCATTCTGGGATATCACCAGTGGGTTTGGAAGCACCAAGAGATGTTATTGTGAGGCAGGGAAGAATTAAAACAAAGAACATAGTTAACATGTTTTGGTGCCAAATGCTCCCTGCAGCCTCGTTAGGCTCAACTCCATTTGAGCTCATGCTGTAGAGTTTCCCTTAAAAACTGATTTGAGTCATAAGTGATTTGTGTCATTCTTCATGTATTCTTTCTCACCGATTCCAGGGCAAATGTGCTCAGATTGTAAATCCAAAAATGACTTCTGTCAAACCTGCAAATTCCACATGGAAGAGGATAACTAAATTGTGCAGCTTCTGCCTCTCACATCAACACTAAACAAAAGCCCCACAATCAGAATTCAGTTGACAATTGTGCTGCTCATGCACTGGGGAGAATGCAATCCTGCTCAGTCTTCCAAAGGTATTTTTTGGCTGTACAGGGAGAACAGGACTAAAACATGCTAATGTGATACACTCAGCAGGTATGGCTAAAATACACACACGGAGCAGAGATGTTGAGTAGGGAAGTTGATTTTTTACTTAGTGGCTTTTTGGACCCTGGCTACTGAAAGCTTTTCATTCCTAGCCAAGCCCTCCATGCCTGGGATCAGTTTAATAGGTGTACTCTGGTCACCTCCAAAAAAGTACATCCCTATGGAGATAAGGTGTCACAGAGTACATGCCTTGTATAATGGTCTAAATCCCTTCTCTTATTTATTATACACCTTTCTGATCCAGCCTAGGACCCACTGGCATCTCTTTCTGTAACGGAACATAGCATATACACCTCCATGTTACTACATGCTTGAATGTCTAAGCCCCTTCTACAGCCAGCATCTTCTCTACAGCTCAGTGGGCCGAGTAAGTCTGAACTTTGTCTTCTGTGCCAGCTGCAAGCGCCTCTGCTCCAGGCGTTTGATCATCCAACAATTACAATGTCTTCCCATTGCTCAAATGGACACCCGACACCCACCCATGCTCCCTATTCACAATAAATGGGCACCAGTCTTCAAACACACCCAACAAAACTAAAGTTCATGAGTTGTCCAAAAAGCAGAGGAGAAACAGCAGAGAGAAGTTAATTCTGTTACTTCAGATTTTGCGCCAAGATTTTGAGACTGAAATCCAAAGCCTTAGGTCTCTGGAATGACGTGGGCAGGATTTCCCCAGCCACTAAAACAGCAGCACCAAAAGTAAGTTTTTTGTTTTGTTTTCCCCCCAAACTTTGCACAAACCTGACCTCAGTCAGAATTCCCTTTGTTCAAAGTCAAGAAACATCAATTATTTGGAGACAACATCACTGAGCTGGAGCAGATATATGCTCATCCATGTCTACAATATATTTTTGTGGTTTGGTAAGGACATGTGTGTGAGACAGACTAAATGTTAAGATTTATAAAGTATCATTCCAGACCCACTAGCCATCCAGCTCAAAGGACATCTGCTAAAGTTCTCTGTCCCTTTCCTGCAACTGAGCTGGGAATAGGATGTGAAAAGCAGTCAGGGCAGGGCAGAGCAGACTGCAGGGTAACAGCAACAAAAATGCTCACTGAGTGAGGTGAGCAACATTGCATCCTCTGCCATCACTTTGATCTAGAAGGGAGCACTGTAAGGTCATGAAGTCCTTAAAGGGTCATAGTCTCTACCCCACATGGTGTGGCAGTTCTCCAATATCCCTAACCCTTCTGGAGTGGCTGATGCTCAAGTCTTGACTTGAACATTTCCTGTGAAGATTTCACCACACCTCTGTGTACTAATTGATTTTATGGTTATAAAAGTTTTTCTTACTATTTAAGCAAAAACTTTCCTCGCTTAATTTTGTTGTTCCTCATCGCTGACATCCAATAAGGTTCCTTTAGTAAGCAGCAAACCGCAAAGCAGTTTGGATGAGCTCTGAGGGGTGGAAGCAAATCAAATGGGAATAAAGGATTCTTCTTCTTTTTAATTTACTTCTTTTTAGTCCCTTTACTGTGTAATCTCAAATTGCTCAAATCTCCTTCTATGGGCACTGTTCCATACTGCTAGTATTTAATACAAGCCAGGCGATGGGGCTCTGGAAGGAATGCCAGTTGAAAAGACTTAGTTTAGGAAGAAGACTGAGCTGCCTATATTCCTTCACTTCAATGTTTCTAGTGATACTAAACATGAAAACCAGACACTGCTGCTACTCTTGTGATTCTAGACAGTGACTGGACAACAGCTCTTATCACCCAGGGAGACATTTGTTAACACTACATCTCCAATGTCACAGTAACTCTAAGGGCTTCTCTGCATTGTGAGTTACTGCTCGGCCAGCCAGGATGCAAATCTACAGAGCACTAGATTGCTGAGTAGTAACGTCCTATATCGACTCTGCTACCACACAGTGAAAGTCCTGAAGTGTGGCTTAGTGTATTATGGCTTGACAGCATAAGGCCAGGTGGCCTGGAATCACCAACAGTTGCTTTAATAAAGAGAGAAGCACTGGCCTATATCTGACAAGGGGATTCACTCAGAACTGAAAGCAGGGTGATTCAACATTTTGACAGGTCTGTCAGATGTAAAGCTAGACATGAGGGACATTAGTGTGTCCTAAAATATCTTCCCAGGCCAGAGTGGCATCGTCACTTTGCAAAATGATAAGACTGAATCAAAGCATGAGTGTGTTGTTAAGATGCACAAACGTTACAATGCCCAGACACAATGAGTTTGTCCCACTGGAAAAACCTTGGAAGAGGGCAACCATAATTATTATTAGTGCCAGCAATGCACTGGGCACATCATGGAAGAGTTATAAACCAATAATAGGGTCCTTGCCTCAAAGAGAATCAAATATAAATAAAGCAATGTATAAATGAGTACTTTCCGTATGCAGAACACTTATGATTCACAGATCTCAAAGCACTTTACAAAGGTAAGTCAGTGCCATTATCTCTATCTTATAGAGGGGGAAACTGAGGCATTGAAAGATTAAGCGACTCACCCATGGTCACACGAGTCAGAGACCAAATAGAAATAGCATCCACTAGTGGGACTGGATGCAAGAGAAAGGAAAGAAACCACGCGGTGAAGCTTAAAATTTGTCTTGTTCATTCATGATTTTTGTTCAGAGTGTTTGTTGCTTTGTTTTCCATATTTTCTTTCTTTTATGGAACAAGTTTATGGGGTGGTGGAAGAAGTATGTTCTAAAAAGGAACTGGATGGAGCACAGGCATGTTCAGCCTGGAACAGGGAGGAGACAACACATTTGTCACCATACACTATGGGCAAAGAGGAGCAAACTTTAAGAAAATAGATAGGTTTGGGCTGTGAAACTTCTGAGTGTTAAATAGATTCATTTATATTTATTACTATTAGGTATGACCTCTGTGTCCTCAGGTGTGCATTGCATTTATTCATGCCTGCTCTACGCAGATAAATCAGGTGGTTCTCATATATAACACTGGTGTTGCTCTGCCCATGCCAGTGACCCAGATGAAGCTAATAAACTCTCCTTGGAGGATCTTGCAGACTAAGCCTGAGATTTTCAAAGTCACCTAGATGGTTTGATTGCCCAATTGCCATTAATTTTAATGGATATTGGGTGTCCAGATCCCCTTGGTGGCTTTGAAAACCTCCATCTAACTGGCACAAGAGGATGCAGCATCACACAAACTGGAAGAGACCCAGTCCCATAGAGGAGTGTGGACATTAGAGGTGGAATACTTCCAAAAGCTGGTTGGGTTTCAGGAGCATTATAAAAGAGGAAAAGACGGGGCGTGTCATATATTAATAAAAAATGGTTCAGGCATAAAGGAAAGCATGAAAAAAGGTACAGAATGGGCAAAGGGACTGCTCCGCTCAGGAAAGAAGCTGGGGCAAACATGAGGGAATGGGAAGGGTCTACTGAAGGAAACAAGAGATAAAGGCTGGTAAAAAAGGGAAAAGGAGAAACATGAACTCTATTAGCAGTAAAAGGAGTGAGAAAACCAGTGATGCATCTGGCAAGAGAAAGATGATCTTGACAGTGGCATTCTGGTCAAGCTGCAGGGTTGGGAGATGGGGGAAGCTGGAAGGAAGGAGGTCGCCACAGTGAAATAAGATGACTGAAGTCTTAG